CAGCTCGTTAGCCCTCACTTTGTCTCTGTCAGCTATTTATGCTCTCCCTCTACTCTCACTCTTTGTTTGTTCCTTGTCTTTGCTGTCCTCCCATGCTGTTGTCCACCTACCTCGTCTCTCCCTGGCTCCTCGTGTTTGGTTTCCCCAGATGTCTCCATAGTTCTGGTTTGCTTTTCATGATTAGTTGGATTTTTGGATTCCTGCCTTTGTTTACTGTTTTTGCCCCAATAAAACTCCTAGAAATCTCCTCAGCATCTCTGCCTCTGCATTTGGGTCCTCCAAACCACAACCAAACCTTGACAAATATTGGCATAAGTGAGCATTTTGACTCTCACTGTGAATGTGTATAGTGTAAATTGTAGACAGTGAAAAGTGGAATAGCTTAAACCTGGATCATACCTGCACTATTGCATCTGGAAGGCCTGCGGTCATGGTGGAAAGGGCATCTTTGACAGCCAGGGTCCTCTGCATCAGGACTTCCAGTGTTGGTAATAAAGTTCCATAAGGACAGTCTGCTTGGAGAATGTCCAGAGTCACAGTCAGGGGCTTTGTGGCCGAGCAGTATTCATTAAGAAATTGGTATTCTCTCTCTTTGAAGCATTTCACTCACAGATTGGTGCACAGAGTACTCAGCTCATTCATGGGGATTTCTGTAACTCTCTTAACAGCATCGAAAAATGAGTTCCACCTTGTGGAGGTTGGTACCAGGAGCTTTCTTCTACTGACTTCCTGTCAGGTCTAAGCACCTAAAACATCTTACATACATACAGGGAAAGAAAAAGGCACAGAGACAATTAGTTTAGTTGTACTTGCGAGGAGAGTAGCAAGGGACCGCACAGTACAGGTCACCACCCCACTCTGGCGGTCTCCGGGTCCTCCTCGCAATTTATTGAAATCAGGCTTGCAGTCTCAGTAAACATGTCCTCTAAATCTCAGGGTTCAGTCAAAGTTTAAGTTGTGTAGCTGTTGACCATAGTGCAGCAGGTTTAGTGCTGCTCGTAAATCAACCACAACCCAACCAAAAGCAAGTCCACAAATCACAGTATACTTTAAAAAAGGTGGCTATGATCACATGCACATAGCACACAGCTTTATGCATTATAACACTAAACAGATACATTTATATACAATTATTCTAACACTTCCTCTACTGCCACTGATGCGCTGGTGGACCTACTTGCTTTTGTCCAAAGAGCTGAGCATTTTGCTGTGCTGCTCCTGTAAACAACCTTACTGTCCGCATTAGATGTCAAATATTTTTCCACATTGTTTGTGGAAATGAGGTTGATTGTGTGGGAGGAGCAACTGTGGTGTGGAGGAAGCACAACCTTTGCCTCGGCATCACTTTCATGCTCAGCTGACAAGAGTTCTGGTAAAAATGTGACGTCATCATCTGGATTTGGCTCTTCCTCCATCTCATCATCGCTAGACACAGCCTGGTAAACTCGAACCACCTTCGAAACAAGTTCGAGCCGTTATCTTTCACTGTTGCAACTACCTTCTTCCCATACGCTGAGTGGATGTCTTCAATTTCTTGTCCAATTACGTCATACTTGTGTCTCCCTCGTACTATTCTGCATGCTAAAGCTGCCTTTTTATGTTCTAACATGTCTTTACTAAGCCAGTGTAATGTCACCCTGATGTAACTTTTATTGTTAGCTGTCCAAATATCAGCTGTTGTTGACACAAAATCAACCTCATGTAGCGCAGCCTTCAGATTTGTCTCCGTTGCTTCATATTGTTTTTCCAGCTAACTAGAAAAACATGTTCCGTGAGGCAACCTGGTATCGTTACTAGTAGGGAT